GCAAAATATTTTAATGAAAACACTTGGTGTTGGCAAGAATGCAGGAGAATAGGCAGGCAGGTATTGTTTTCTGTTTTCTTTTTCTTTCTTGCCAGTCCTGGGGCTTGAACTCAGGCCTGGACAAGAAGCTTAGGGGAGCTTCTTTTGCTCAAGGCTAGTGCTCTACCATTTGAGCCACAACACCACTTCCCTGTTTTTCTTTGTATGTGGTACTGAGGAATCAAACCCAGGACTTCATAAATGCTAGGCAAGCACTCTACCACTAAGCCACATTCCCAGCCCCAGGCAGGTATTCTTAAAGAGAGTGTGAATTTCTATATACTTAACTGAAAGGCAAGTTGGCAATATGTTTCTAATGCTTTTGTGGGGGGGAGGGTCCGGTTGTGGGGCTTAAACTCTGGTGTCCCTCAGCTCTTCAGCTCAAGGCTAGCACTCTACCACTTGAGCCACAGTGCCACTTCTGGCTTTTTTCTTTTTGCTTATGTGGTGCTGAGGAATCGAACCCAGGACCTCATGCATGCAAGGCAAGCGCTCTACTGAGCCACCTTCCCAGCCCCGTTTCTAATGCTTTAAATGGCAATTCTACTACAAGGAAGAGATTGAACTGAAAGAAATAATAAATGTGAACAGAGATCTAGTTAGACAATTGTGCATCAGTACATCATTTATGAGAAGAAGAGAAATGTAGATCATCTGTAGCCCCAGTGCTGGGGCTAGAACTCAGGGCCTAGGTGCTGCTATCCCTGAGCTTCTTTTGCTCAAGTCTAGTGCTCTACCATTTGAGCCTCAGCGTCACTTCTGGTTTTATCTGAGTAGTTTATTGGAGATAAGACTCTTACAGACTTTTCTGCCTAGGCTGACTTTGAACCGTGGTCCTCAGATCTCAGCCTCCTGAGTAGCTAGGATTTATAGGTGTGAGCCTCCAATGCCCAGCTTGTTTGCAAGTTTAGAGCTTACAGTTTGTGACTGATTGGTCCTATTGGTGGGAGCCCTTGGCACCACATCATGATGGAAGCATGTGACAGAGCAAAGCCATTTACCTTGTATCTTGGAAGTGGGTATAGGAGAAAGAGAAAGAGACTGGGGTCCCACAATCCCTTCTGAGGTCATGCTCTCAATGGCCTAAAAATCTCCCACTAAATACTACATTAAAGTTTCATTTTCCATCGTGAAAAACTAAAGACCAAGTTATAGGTTGGGGGGAGATGAACATTCTAGATCTAAAGTATAGCAGGAAGTGACTATACACTATTATTAAAATGATTTCTCTTTATCTTTAGGTAGTTGTACAAAGGGGTTTCAGCTCAACATGTGAATTTATGAAAACCCTGCATCTTGATCAGTGTCACCCCTTCCATCATCCTCCCCCATCCCTTCCAACCCATCCATCCCCCAAGTCACATCATTCCATTTTCACACGTGTATATTTTAATATAATAACTATATTTCTGACTTTCCTCTCCATCTTTCTGTTTTCCCTCTCCTCGGCTCTTCTCCACCAAAAAATATTTCAGCATCCGGGTATTCGTTTTGTCAAACTGTTCATTTTTTTATTTGTATATCCCTGCATGTTTATCAAACCCTATGTGCTAAGTAAAATCACAGTGTGCCACATATATCTTATATGGATCCCATATCAGATGCTATCATACCTGGCATGGGGTCTTTCACATATTAGGTACTCAGCAATCACTAATGAAATCAATGCAGCATGAACAAGACCTGCCACATCATACCTCTCTGCCTATTGGACATGCATTCAGATTTGACCCCATCCTGCATAACACTTAGCACTACCATGTGCCAATTCCCCCATTCTACTCAAATGTTACCTCCCTCTCTCTCATCATTTAGATGTGAACTTCTGGAGGGCCCATGTCAACACAGTGACATCGTGAGTACCATCCTTATTAGAGTTCAAGAATTTGGAAGAGGGAAAGTGGTTTGATCCAGTCTTCTCAAAATCCCTTTGAACTGATCAAAAGAGGAAAGCTGAATTTCAGTTCTGCTATTTATGAAAACAAACCATGTATTGTTCACACAGAACTTAAAAAAAATTAGAAGTCTTGATTTTTCTTGTAACTGGATAATTGTTTCCCTGAAATTGACCCTGGTATTGTAATGCAAGTTTACAAATTTATCACATTTGAGTTTTATTTTCAAATTCTTCCTCTTCTACTCTTATTGGTCATCCACAAAGGAGTTTCCCAGACATCTTATTTGATGTCCTAGGGCTGGAATTGGGAGAATGGAAAATGAACAATACCCAGAATTCTGGAGATGAACCTGGTTTCTCTAATCCAACTCTGGTGAAAGCAGTGCTGATCTATTGATCCAACCAACATCTCTTTCACATGACAGCAGCCATAAGCAGTCTCTTCTTCCCTTTATCTCTGTAGTTTGGAGCTGATTGAGGAAGAAAACATTTTACTATCATCCTCACTCGACCACACCGTGTGCCTGTGGAGCAGGGATGGGACACGCATAGGTAGGGAATGTCCACCTGAACTTCAGATGAACATCTGGCCCTCTTGTCCACCCTCATTTGGGACTAAAGATGTCACTCCACTGAGTCATGAATTATCTGAAGTGAAATGTGTCCAGCCACTCATATTACCATAACAAAACACCACAACTTGGGCAACTTAATAAGAAGAATTTATTTTTCTCTTTGCTCTGAAGCCTTGAAGTCCCAAGGTGGGGATCTCAGTCTGGCTGGGTTCTGGTGAGGGATCTCTTCTGTCCTTTCAGAGGGCTACCTTCTTGTGTCAGCACATGATGAGAAAGAGTATTCTCTGATACTCTTATAAGACACCAATTCTATAGATTTAGAGCTTTGCCCTTATGATCTTATTTAACCTTACTTACTTCTCTAATGGCTTTGTTTCCAAATGATTTTTTTTGTTTCCAATGATTACACCGGGAGTTAGAGTATCAGTATAGGAATTTTGGAAATACATAATTCAGTCCGTAGTCATGAAATAAGTGAGCTTCTTTTCCCCAAATTAGCAACACCAAAACATTTGAACTTAAAGAATTTGGTGAGCTTAAGGCATCCATTTCAGGAAGGAATTACCTTATTATGAGGGTCAGGTATTGGGTATGACTTGGGACCTTTCAGAACTGGGAGCAAGGGGCTGGGGGCTTAGCCCAGCGGAAGGGTGCCCGCTCGGCACACGCAAGACCCTGAGTTCGGTCCTCAGCCCTGGGGAAAAAAAAAGACAGAACTGGGAGCAACTGAGTTGTGGGTAAGAGCCTGGCATGTATGGGTTGTGGTAATTATATGGTCTGGATGAAAAATGGCCAATAAAGACATGAGGAAATGTTTTAATATCCTTGGTCATGAAGGAAATGCAAATCAAAGCAACATAGATTCTCTCTCACCACAGTAAGATTAGCCATCATCAAGAAAATGAACAGCAACAAATGTCCACAGAGATGTGAGACAAAAGGACCCCTATGACAGAACTGGTGGGAATTCAAACAGTGCAATTACTATGGAAGATGGTGTGGAGGTTCCTCAAAAAAACTAAGCACAGAACTACCTATGATCCAGCAACACTACCCTGGAGCATTTATCCAAAAGATTACAAATCAAGACACTGGAAACACATTTGCACATCCACATTCTTGCTACACTATTCACAATAGCCAGGATATGGAAACAGCCCAGATTCCTGTAATGGATGAGTGGATCAAGAATATGTGGAACAAATATACCAATGGAAGATTACTTACCTATCAGGAAGAATAATATTATGTCATTAGCAAGGAAATGTACAGACATGGACAAATTTTTGTTAAGTGAAGGAAGTCAGTCTCAGAGAGAAAAAGAGCACTGTTTTCTCTCATATGTGGGAGTTAGATCTAAATTATAAAGATATATGATGACATATACAGGGTCATAGTCATGCATACCCGAACAAATTAACTAAAGTGTGGTATAGGTCAGGAAAGAATCCAATAGTGTAATTCCATTAAACAACTAACTTACAGTTTAATAAAATGCATACCAGGAAGCTGAAACATATTTTGTCAGAGGGAGGAGGCTCAAACAGAGGGTGGGCAGACAAATGGGCAAAGACAGACAAAATATTCCATGTGCCTATGGGAAAATGGAGCCCGGTGACTTGAGAGGATGAGTGTGATTGTTGAATGGGAGAGAACAATGGAAGGAGTGACTTGAATCAAGACGCATTGTACTTGCTAACTGACCTATTGAATTGGTACTCTTTTGTACAACTACTTAAATATAATAATTTTATTTTGTTTGAATCATAAAAAAATAAATCAAAATCACCTGGCCATTGCTTGGGGAGACTGTGAGCTTATTTCAACAGAGTAACTTATGTTTCTTGAAGCTGGTCTGAAACTATTTTAAATTTATTCTGTAAGTTTGCAGTATATTTCTTGAGTATACACTCAATAATAACATACATTATTGAGTTCCCAGGATAGTACTGAGCCTATTTACCCACCTGGTAAATTTTGTAGGAGGAATTTTAGATTTCTATCTTCAAGGATAATTGTCCTGCAGTTATTCCTTACGGAATTACAGAATCATGACAGTTTAATTCAAGTATCTTCTCTCCAGACCCAACGAGGCTAGCAGTATGATTTGTTTCTATTAGAAGTCAAATTATCGCCTATCATATGCATTCATTTATCTCTATTCTTCCAGGTACCTTTGGGCAGAATATCCCCTGGGATATTTTTACTCCTACCTCCTGGAGTCATCCAAGAAGCCCTGATGAGATTCTGAAAGATTCCCAGAGCATGACAGCTCACCCTGTGCTGGAAGGAGATGCTCTTGCTGGGCACAAAGAAGCACAGGAGGAGCAGAACAACATGATAGAGGAGAAGGTCCCTGATGAGGTTAGTGCTGACACATCTGGGTCACCAGTATTCCTTCAGGCAGATCAGCCATGGAGCATGGCTACAGGCAGAGAGAATCAAGGCAGGGCCCAGAGAGCCAAGTCAATAACAGGAAAAAAGTGTGTTCCCACCATTCTGAGCTCATGATCCTGACCAGGACCAGATGGGTCCTAGGACCAATCTGTGGGATATGGGAACCCATCTACAAAGGTTTTCCTCTGTTTTTGTGTGCTGGTACTCAGACTTGAACTCAGGGCTTTGCACTCTTGCTCAGCTGGCACTTCCAACTGGTACTCTACCATTTTGAGCCATGCCTCCACTCTTGAATTTTGTTATTCAGAGTGAAGAGTCTTGGGGATTTTTGCCTGTCCAGGCTAGCTTCAAACTGAAATTCTCAGATCTCAGCTTCCTGAGTAGCTAGGATTACAGGCATGAGCCACTAACATCTGGTATCTACCTCCTTTTCACCAAGAGAAAGGCAGCTGTCCCCAGCCTTGGGACTGAAGTACACAGCATGATCAACCCAGGTGTGACCTCTGAGGAAGCCATGGATCCTGTACATTCAGTCCCCAGTGCATGTTCTGAGATGAATTTAAAAACAGAGCCTCCTAATATCGAGAGGAAGATGTGATTGGCTTAATGCCCAAGTCTATGAAAGTCAAAGTCAGAGGAAGAGGTTTGGAGAAGGTCGTGGTCAATGCAGTCTTGATTTAGAGCTCTGTGAAATATATAGATTTTCAAGAAATGCTTGCCCTTTAATAAATTGAAGAGAAGGTCATTCTGTGAGCTACGGCTCAGCAGCTATGTTACAGCTCAAAGCAGGACACCTGCTCAGCCAGCAAAATTGTGTATCTTCGGTTTTTGCCTTGGTGGTTTCATAGAATACTGGTCACACTGTAAAACCCACTTACTCTCTCGAGCTTAGAGTCCAAACATGCTGAAAATAGGAAACAAAGGAACCAGAGAACACAGCGCAGGAGAAGCTTCTATCCTATTCAAAGCTCCTCCCACCTCTCCAATCCCTCCTTCCCAAGTTATCCAGAGGCTCCTCATTGGCATCCGTCAGGACACTCAGTGTCACCTGGCACCACCAGCTGACTTAGAAACATAGTACTTTCAGCATCCATTTAATATAGAGAAAACAAACAATTCAACAATTTTGATAGCTTCGCCCTTTGGAAAACAAAAACTCAAGGAGAGACGGGAAGAAAGAAAGGAAGGAGAGATGGAGGGGGGTGTGAGGCTGGAGACATAGCCCTTGTTGGGCCTTATGTTTTAAGACATAGGACTTCAAAAGAAATCAAAGGCAAGGGGGAGGGGGGAGGCTGGGCATGGGTTAAGAGGAAAGAATGGAGAAGAAAGAGGGTTGGAGAAGAAAGATATTCAGGTCAACAAAATGAAGACCCTCTCATTTACTTCCTGCTTTCTTTCCAAAAGTGAGCAAAATCTTCACCACTTGACCTTCTGTAAGGAAACCACAAGGTGACCCTGTGCTTATGATTCTACCCATTTGGCTACAGGTACCTTGGAAAACACTTCAGATTCTTTCCAAGAAAAAAAAATAACTTCAAAACCAAGAACCTGCATCTTTAATGTAGTGTATCTGGGCCATTGGATGGGAACCAAATTGTAAAATGTTTCTTGCTGTGTGTGAGTTACAGCTCCCAGAGTTCTACTCTGAAGTTTACCTTAATTATCCATGGGATCTCCACCAGCAATCACTTCTGCAAAGCTATAAAACAAAGAGAAATGGGATTTAGAGTGATCTCAAATTTTCTTTCCAGCCCTCCCAAATCATATGATTCTCTGAACATCTATTCACAAAAATTGGATGCTGATTGGATTTTTGGATGCCAGGAGTGATTCTTCTAAGATGCCAGCAGATCAAACAACACCACAGTTAAAATAAGTTGCCTGGATGTAAAAAAAAAAACTCATCTGGAAAATACCTCCTATAAGTTGGTAGTTGAAAAGATTGAGTAAAAACACAAAGGAAAATGCTCTTGTCATCTAACTCAGTTGGATCTTGGTCTCAAACAAAAATCACGTGTTTTCAATAGTGCAATTCTTGTGCCGTTACTAGTGTGATCATGGGTTTCTACTCTCATATCTGTACCTCCTTCTTCCAGGTTGAAAAGATCTATAACCTTCCTCCTCCAGAAGATCCCAAGGTTGAGGATGAGGTGCAAGAATGTATGAACAAACAGTCTTCATTTTTCCATAGCAGGTCAGTTTGCAAAGACAGCCAGAACTGGGCACTGGTGGCTCACGTCTGTAATTCTGACTACTCAGGAGGCTGAAGTCTAAGGATTGTGGTTCAAAGCCAGCCTGTGTAGAAAAGTTTGTGAGACTCTTATCTCTAATCAATGAGCAAAAAGCCAGAAGTGGGGTGTTGCTCAAGTAGCAGAGTGGCAGCTTTCAGCAGAAAAAAAACTAAGTGAGAGCTCAAAGTCCTGAGTTCAAGCCCCAGTATTGGCACAAAAAGAAAAGGAAAGGGAAGGAAATAGAAAAGAAAAAGAGCCAAGTCAAAGGGAGGGACTCTCCTGAAATTGCACAGCCTTATTGGCAGAGGCATCCCAGAGTGTCTAGTCATCTGCATTTGTCCCTAAGCTTGCACACCTTTGGAGTAAAACTGAGGTCACAACTCCAGTCTCACCAGTTACATGATTCAGGACACTCTAAGTTGGCCCCAATTTTGTCTGGCCATCACACATAGCCGAAGACCACTCCCAGTTCTGTACCTTGAGCTCTGTGATGGATGTTATTATCTTCAGCACACTTTGGGCAGGACAGCCTCACTACCTTTCCCACAGAGCCCTTGTGCAGCCCCTCTACCATCCTAAGGGCCTAAAGTCAGAGACAGGCCCTGCGGCTCTCAAAGCTGTAAAAACTTGGGTTGCCTTCAAAGGCCTGTGTGTGCTACAGGTCCCTGTGCACTGGAAGATGGATGGCAGTTTATACAGAGAAGCAGAGCAAATGAACGCCTCTTCCCCCAGTCCCTCAGACTCTATCCTGGCTTTTCTGGATTGCAGTCAACAAAGATCCCAAAGAAATAGTCCCTTCAGTGTCACTTGTTGCTCCTCTTATCACAAGATTTGGATCCTGGACACAGATCACATGAGTGATGGCATGTCCCCTCTCCTGGCGCCTTAGTGCAGTGACTCCATGATGTCAAGGGCCCAGGCTGCTTTTCCAATTGTGCCCATCTACTACCTTAACTCTTCCTTCCATCTCCATGGTCACCTACCAGTACAGGCAGTTACAGGGGCCTACTAACCTCTACCTATACTCTAGGATGTGCCAACAGGGCCTAAAGTATAAGGTCCAGGATAAAAGAGTGCATCTTCCAGCCAGGTCAGCACTTAGTGGAATGTTCCAGTAGCTTTTGCTCATTTCTCTTTACATCTGGTTGGCCAGCACATAGTCACAGGGCCATGCCTCTAAACTTTGGTTGGGGAGGATGGTTGGTTTGTTATAAAAATGACATGAACTTGGGTTCTAGTCACAGATTTGCCATCCAAAACAATGTGAGTTGATGGAGGCATGATTTAGTGGTAAGAGCACCTATCTACGCAAGCATAAGGCCTCAAGTTCAAATCCCAGTAGCATCATAATTAATAAGTAGAAAGAAAAAAAAGAGATGAAAGGGAGAAGGAAAGAAAAATGAGAATGCAGGAAGGAAGGAAGGAAGGAAGGAGGGAAGGAAGGAAGGAAGGAAGGAAAAAACAATGTGACCTCAAGACAGTCATTTAAACTTCCTGTGTATTTGGAAATCTTCCAGGTGGGTGTGGAAGTTGGATGGTGAATGTACTGGCATGCTTCAGATGGAAACTGGGAAAGGGAGAGCATTCCTTCCAAGGCCACAGATAGTAGGTTGCCGCTGTTAGCAGCTCCAGCAACAGCAGAATGAGCAACATCTTGAAACATCTTCACAGGCCCAGTTTAGGTTTGAATTGCTTGTCTTCCCAGTGGTTTTACACCACTGTAAGGTATAAGGGAGAAAAAAGGCTTCCAAATAACCAAAATAACAAAGCAGCTGGAAGTTAAAAAAAAATGAGATGCTGCATAACTGTCTTGGATCCACTCTTGGTACAGATAGCATAGAATGGTATAAAGAAAAGCAGCTCTGAGCTCAGAACTGGTTTCATTCTCTGTGACTGTAGCAAGCCTAAATGAGGAAACAAGAGAAAGAGACAAGCCTGGAAGAAAGGTAGCAGTGGGTTTGCCTGGAGGAATCCTACCAGGGGCAGCACATAGGCTAACGTCAAACTTGGTCAGTACCTGAGGTTCTTGGGCTAATTTTTAAATGTGCATCTTTTGCCAGGCACTGGTGGTTCACATCTATAATCCTCACTACTCAGGAGGCTAAGATCTAAGGATCATGGTTCAACATCAGTCCAGGCAGAAAAGTCAGACTTTTATCTCCAACTAACCAGTAAAAAAGCCAGAAGTTGAACTGTGATCTAGTGATATAATGCCACCCTAGAGTGAAAAAGCTAAGCATAAGTGCAAGGCCCTGAGTTCAAGCCCTAGAACCAGCACATAAACAAATAAATATAACAAATAATAAATAAATGACAAGAACTATTTAAAAGACTATGCACATTCTATATTGTTTCAATTTGCAACATGAAGATGTACATTTTCTCATTTGCCAGACTTCAGATGTTGACTATGGTTTTCTAAAATGTATTGTATATTATATATGATTATATATGATTTTTCTATCTCTGCTTTTAAAGCATAGAGCAAGACCTTAGCTAGATTCCCAAAGAAATAAGAGAGCCTTTATCTCTTCAGATTATTTTTATAATTTTTCCTGCACTTCAACAGTTATTTTATTTATCTTCAGTGCATATTACCTTCCAGCTAGTCTTTTCAAAGACTCTGTCTCTTAGCCTTTCCAGAGATTTTTCTTCACTATGTTCACATTCATGTCAGCCATTCTCATTTTGTTTGGATAAGTGTATAATCACAATAACATGTAAAAATATCAGAAGCAGGTTGGAAAACAAACGCAATTCATTCTGGCTGAGCACGTGACTCGAGCCCAGTCACTGCCAGGGTAGATATGCACAGGATACTGTAGCCACCTACAGGCATGGGCATCCTGAGGGCTGTGGGCATTTGCATGGTACAGATGGGGCATCAGTCAACCCATGGACTCTAGTAGAACACCTAACACAGTGATCCTTTGAACAACAGAGATTTTCCCTAGAAATCAAAACAAGCATTTTCTGGGCTGCTAGGCTTCAGGGCCCAGGATGAGGGGGGAAAAAAGGAGGAGGAGGATGCCTGGAAGGTAACAAGGCCGGTGTAGAGTCCCCATTGCTGTTTCTGCTACCAATTAACCAGCAAAAAGTTGAAAGTAGAGCTATGGCTCCACTGGTAGAACACCAGCCTTGAGTAAAAAAAGAGCCAAGGAAAAGCATAAAACCCTGAGTTTACGTTCCAATATTGGCACACACACACACACACACACACACACCTGAAGTAGTCAATCTATATAATGTGTGTTTTACCACAATTAAAAATAAAGGGTAGATCATGAAAGATCAAAGCAAGAGAGAGGAGGAGGATGTTCTGGGAACTTTGAGTCATTTGATATGGTTGAAAGAGTTGGGGGGCACTGGGGAACCCCAGCAATCAAAACAAAACTACCACAGAATTTGCAGGGTGAAAGTAGATAACTTTGCAAGGTGTCAGAAATTATCAAGAGGAGGAAAGAGTCCATGACAAAGGATCAAAGGGATGGAATCAATATAGCTTTTACCATAAAAAACATTCAGATGCTGGGTGTAGGATTTCAGCTAAGCCAAGAAAGCGGTACAGGACTTGTAGGTGATGGATAATCTACACACTTAGTTGGCTTTTTCCCACCAGGCTACAGCCAGCACTGAACAGGCCTTGCAATAGAGTGCCAGAGCCCAGGTGGCCCAGCATTTACCAGAGACTCCGGTGCCATGAGATTGCCTGCGTGTCTGTCCTTGGGGAGAAGCCAGATTTGTCTATTATTGGCTCGGATTTGTTCGATGTGAATTTCCGCCCGCAGGAAGAAGTGGAGCTGCCCAGAAGGAGCACTGATCCTCTGTCTGAGTGCTAAAAGGGTCTCGGCTGCTATTTTCTTTTCTTGGCAAATTATTCTTCCACATGCAATCAAAAGGCCTGACTGAGATTAAGCTTTGCCCAGGAGGAGCAAAGAAGAACAAAACAAGAAATGACTGCAGCCAACATGACTCTCTTCCCAAAGCAATTACAGCTTGAATTTAAGAGAACAAATCAGATTTGAGGTGTTTTCTTTTTTCTTTCCTGGAAGCTGTTATTTCTTTGTATGGAAGCCTAGACTGGTGGCTACAGCCAGTGGCCCTGCGCTTCCCCATACATCAAACACTACTGGTGGCATTTGGCTCTAGGTGGGCTGAGGACAGTTAGACTGTTGGTAAAAACAGCTGCAGTTTGGCAAGCTTTCTTTCTATTAGGTAGATCTTATTTAAGAGAGTAAATGTATTCTCTCATTTATCCCTAATCACATTCTATGCATAGGTTCTGTTATCAGCCCATCTGACCCATGAGAAAACTAAGGCTCCAAAATGTTAAGGGATAGTCAGACCAAGTAGCTCACACCTGCAACCCTAGCTACTCAGGAGGCTGAGATCTGAGAATAATGGTTTAAAGCCAGCTCAAGCAGGAAAGTCTGTGAGACTCTTATCTTCAATTCGCCAGAGAAGAACCAAAGACTGAGATCTAGGAATAGTGGTTCAAAGCCCGCACAGTAGGAAAGTTTCTGAGACTTATTTCCAATTAACCAGGAAAAAAGCTGGAAGTGGAGGTGTGATTCACGTGGTAGAACATCAGCCTTAAGCAGTAAAAGCCATCTGGCAGTGTGAGTCCCAGAGCTTAAGCTCCAGAATTCACATACACACACACACACACACACACACACACACACACACACACAGAGTTAATTTGTTGATAGTTATCAAATGACACAGAAGGATCCAGAGTTAGGGTTTGTCCTGGTTTGTTTTGGTTTTCCCAGTCCTGGAGATCAAATCTAGAGCCTGTGCATGGTTGGCAAGTTCACTACCAAACTACAACTCAGCCCTCGTGGTCTTAATTATCGACATGACTGAGAATAAAATTTGAGGGGCACTAGACCTCTCCTTTCCTTTCCTTTCCTCTCCTAAAGCTGTCATCATCAGGCTATAAGCAAATGACCTCAGAGACTGCAACACTAGTAGGAAAAGAATTATAGTACAGCTATCCAGCTGTCAAGTACTGGGCACTGCCTGTGCTCTGAGTATCCTGGGAAAATCACCTCACAACATCACTATATCTGGAGGAAAGACAACCTGTCTCATAGATTGGGAAAATTAATTCTCAAAGAAATTAATTGTTTCCCCCAAAGTTACACAGACAAAAAATTCAAAATTCAAAACTTACTGTGGCCCAAATATCTACCTTTAACTCAAAGGCTTTTTGTTTTGTTGCAAATACAGAGTTTGAGGTTGGCGAGTCAAGATTGCATAGCTAGGAAGTCTCTTGGCCCTTCTTCTTTAGAACTTTTCCTTTTCATTTTTTGCCAGTACTGAGAGGTGAACTCGGAGCTTGCACTCTTGCTTGGCTTTTTGCTCAAGTTTGGTGCTTTCACTTCACTTCCCAATGCCTATGACCTATTCTCTGGTTAGCACATGGCTTGTACCAACCTTACACCTGGGCCAGAGGACTCTTCCCTGGCCCTGGACAAAGAGGTCTTCAGGATCCAGTAGACCTACTCAAGCAGACCTGTCTAGATTACAGTCCAGGCCTGATATCTGAAAATCACTTGTACATATGGCCCCAAGGCAATTTCCAGAGCCCTTGAACTCTCCTCCAAAACCAATCTATCCAAGGAAGGTCCCCACGGTCCCAGAATCAGGGACATGGCTAAGGGGTGGGTGTTTGCTAAAGGTTGACAGACATTGGGCACTCTGGCAGAGGCCAGGCAAGAACAATGAAGCCCCCTTGGTACCAGAGGAAGCTGGGGGTTCCTGAAAGAAAACAAGATGGGTGCTACAAGCCAGAGAAGGCTCTCCCTGAATTGCTTCATATGCCAGAGAGCTTTAAGGACTCCAAGAACCTGACATCCAAACCAGCCTTCTGGAGCCTTCTGGAGCTTTCTGGCACATCCAGGATAAAAGGATAGAACATTCTGCATCTGTTCAATATGAACAATTTATAAGCTTCATATTTAACTTTTAAATCCTCAGTCTCTATTTAAAGTAGGCTTTACTCTGGACCTAAAGAAAAATCTTAGCAATGAGCCTGCTTCTACTTATCTTTTAATGCTTAGATTTTTCTGGTTTCCCACACTCCTGTTCTTTCTGGAGAGAGCACCCTTGCAAAGAATTCTGGCTTATTAGTGGGCATGTATGAAGTGCCCACACCCTCACTGCTACCTCCAGCGTGAATGACTCTGAATGTATGTCTGGATTTCCAGCAACCAACCTGCTTCCATGAGTCTTGGTTAAATAGCTCACTCATTTCCCAGGTCTTGTCTGACCAGATGGAAACAATCTGGGAATCTAGCCCTTGCCCCCTCCAGGTGGGTACCTCTGGAGAATGTTCATATCAGTGAGAACTCATGGTGATCTGAGAGAAAATCCAAGCTAGGCAAACAGACAAAGGGATGTCGCGACCGCCTCGACCCGCAAGGATGACCCGACAACAGGTCCTTCTTTCAGACGGTTTATTCAGGACCTTATTTACAGCTTCTTTTCTCCTACTTCTCTCCTGCCCACTTCTTCCTTCTTCTTCCTGCTTCTCCTCCCCATCCGCCCCCGCGCTCCAGTTATAAGCCTCCTGGATGGCCAATCCTGAAGCGCCATGTGGCATATACTGATAGGGCTGCAAACACGGAAGCAAACTAGGAGCCAAGTCATAGCCATATAAGGAGTTGTTTTTTACAGAGAGCACTCATCACGAGGAAGACGGAAGGCGGGAGCCCGCGCCATCTTAGGTCGCAGCCGCACCACGCGGCCCTGCCATTTTTGCTTTTGCAGCCGTCTTTGGTCGCGGCTCCCGCAGCTCTCCACAAAGGGAGAAATTTATTGGCTCATAGAACCATGGGGCTCTTGTCCCATGTTTCTTCCCCCTCCCTTTCTCTTTCTCTCTCCCCTCTCTTTCTCTGTTTTTCACTCCTTCTTTCCTCTTTGTCCTCTCTCTCCAGAGTTCTTTCCACAATGCAGAAAACATGGCCAGATAATCGTGACAGCTTTTACTACTCAGAGAGACTGACTTGGTTCCCCTAGGTTCTAAGTTCCAAATCCCAGCTGAAAAGGCTTAATAGTGGATCATGAGTCAGTACTTAACTTGGCTCAGCCAACTGAAAACTGGCTCCTTGAAACATGACTACTCTCAAAGAACCATGGGAATGAAGAGATTCTGATGTACCACAGAGAAGAAGAGGATTGTGGGTACACAGACAACCCTTTATATGCCTCGAGGTAGGCAACTGACTTTCTTTGCCATGGACTTGCAACCTTCTGTCCCTCCTTCCCCTCTCCATTTCTGCCTTCCTTCCTGACATGAGTTTGAATCCTAGATGCTTTGCCTGCTGCTTGCAAGTTTCATAGGCATAGAGATGATCTGGTCCAAAGGAGGATTTTGTTGAGTCTTCAAACTTCCTAAATAATTCAACCGAAATGTCCCTACTTGCTTTTTATAACCTCTAAACAATTCCATTCCTTCTATTCAATGAAGCATTTATTTATTTATTTATTTATTTATTTGTGTGTGTGTGTGTGTGTGTGTGTTGTGTGTGTGTGTGTGTGTGTGTTGGGCCTGAGGCTTGAATTTGGGGCCCTGGCACTATCCCTTAGCCTTTTTGCTCAAGGCTGACCTTCTGCCACTTTAGACACAGCTCCAGCTCCACTTCTGGCTTTTTTGGTGGTGAATTGGACATAAGAATCTCATAGACTTTCTGGTCTAGGCTTACAAAGATCCTCAGATCTCTGCCTTCTGAGGAGCTACAATTACGGGCATGAGCCAGTAGTGCCCAGCTAAACTTATTTTTAATCCTTGATTTTGGACAACTGCATTTTAAGTCTCATCTACAGGTCATAGGCTGCCTACCAGGGCTATTTTTGTTGGAGAGATGAGGATGGACACTACTGTTCTCAGAGTACTGCTACCTCCATTAACTAGTCCCATGAGGGACTAAAGCCATTAGAGGAAGCCAGTGGTGCTCAAAATAAAGCCCATCTCTATAAACCACAGCAAGCGGCATTCTAGAAAATTTATATATAACTTCCAACAGATCAACAGAAGAAAATGGGGCCCAGTAGTGAAATGTATGACTTTATCCTCTTCCAGGTTCTCTCCCCTCCCTCCTTCCCTAGCCTCTGCCTGTCAGTATCCTGCTTCTTACTTGCCATCAAAACAGGAGCAGAAGCAAGGCACCCTGTCCTTCATGGTTGTAATCCGCAGGAGGCTGAGATCTGAGTTTCAAGATTTCAAAGCCAGTCCATGTGCAAAAGTCCATGAGATTCTCACATCTAACGAACCAGCAAAATCTCCAAAGTGGAGCTATGGCTCAAGTGATAGAGCACCAGCAGAAACAAAGTGGCAGAAACAAAGTCCAATCGCTACCCTCAATTCCTGCCATCGAAGTGGGAGCTTTCTGAGGTAGGAATGGGGCTCCCTGGTGAAATAAATTTGGGAAATGCTGCATTCAAGATACCTCACTACAGCTGGGTGCCAGTGGCTCACACCTGTAATCCTAGCTACTCAGGAGGCTGAGATCTGAGGATCGTGATTGAATGCCAGCCTGGGCAGGAAAAGTCCATGAGACCCTTACTCCAATAAACCACTCAGAAAACTGGAAGTGGCACTGTGGCTCAAGTGGTAGAGCGCTCACCTTGAGCTGAAGAACTGAAGGACGGAGCCCAGGCCCAGAGTTCAAGTCCCACGACTGACAAAAAAATTTTTAAAAAGATACCTCACTACGATGGTTTACTTCAGAACTGGATCACTTTATGTCTTCTAGTGCCTGGGAAATCATCAAGAACAGAACTGTTTCCCCACACTCACTTGACCAGGGAACCCCTTCTCCAAGGCACATCT